ACACAACTTTCATTCTACCTGGTTTATTAGACAAATGAGTTCATGTGATCTCTTACAAAACTTGCCAGCAAGAAAAATAACAGGATAGCTTTAATGCCTCATGAAATTTTTAGAAGTAACCTCGATATGATTAAGAAGTGAATTAAGTAGATATAAGTGGGATTAAAATGTATACATGAAATTTTCAACAATGATGACAATATGTCTACTGTAAAATAGGTTTCAAAATATTTTTGGTAATTTTACACCCTAAAATTTTCATAAGTGAAATGATAGAAATTTATTAGAATATCTAAATTTCTAAATATGATAACATACTGAAACATTACTTAATGTAGCTTTATCTACTTTTGGCTTGTAGAGAAACTAAACATATTTGGGTCTGTTAGTAAACATCTTGTACCACATTTAAAAATTGTACTATGAAGCAGCATATGCTTCCATAAATTATGAAATGTATCCATAAATTTGCCAATACACAGAATGTTGGTATGTAAGCAGTTGATAACTGCTGCTTCTCGGTAGAAATTAGGGTATCAGAGGGTTGGGAATACTAGTTAACATATGTAATTAAACCTACCAGAAATAGGAAAGCATCTCTGTATCCAAGGGAAATGTGAGAAATAAACCCACCGACCCAATCAAAAGAGGGCCACAGAGACTTGGAGCTCAGTGAAGCCAGGCTTTACCCAATGTTCTCGCAAGAGCGGGTGTCTGATGGATAGGCACACTCGGGGCAGTTTCAGCAGATAATTTATCTCCTAGCGCGTAAGTCCTTCCCCTGGTTCCTCAGTGGCTGAGTACCACAGGGGTTGCAGCCTTACCTGGACGTGGCCTATGCCCATGAAAGGCAAGAAGTAGTCTGATCGGAATAAATGTACGTTCCTCGAGGTGACGCAGAGATTTTCAGCCCCTCCTTTCTCTGTTCTTTGGTGCATGCCTATTGCAAAGCCCTGGGGTATTAGCCCACGAAACGGGGAGGGGAAGAAGAACCAGGAAGTTAAGGTTTGGGTCTCCATTGTCAGGAGGAAGGTTCCTATATGTTTCCAATACGTTGTAAACCTATTGTTAATCAGCACAGCTTTTATTTGGTATTTCTGAAAATAAATCATCTCCCTTCTCACAGAGTCAGATGTGCTTTGGGTTAAGAAAAGGTATGAGGTACGAAGATGCATTTTTGTTACAGGAAAGAGAAGTTTTGTTCAAAAAGTAGGAGTTGTTTCAGAAGAGGAAAGGGGACAATAAGGGACAAATTAACTGCATATAGAAAGTCGCAAAGAGAAAACCTTGTGTAATTAGGCTGGCTAAAAGGGAATGAATTCATAAATGTTTAAAGATAAATTTTAATATCATTTACCTGAATATATTCATGTAAAACTAAACATTTCCTTTCATCTGCTGAAAGTGTAACTGAACCAACAGGAGTTGGCTCCATGGTGAGTCACAGATAAAAGCTACACCGGGTGGAGTTGTTGGACAAAGTAAAATTGATTTGCAGCGGTGACTCCCCAAGCAAGGGTGGGTGGGTTCCTTTTATTTAGGGTTAGGATGGATATTTAGGTAGGGAGGCCTTGTCACTGTAGAGGCGGATATAAGATAGCACACGCACGAGGAAAGATGCCCACACTACATTGTATATTATGTAAAGGAGGCTTGAGATCCTCCTTAGGCAAAGATTTTGGTTTTATGATGAGGTAAAGATAGTTGTCAGTCACTCTCGAGGTCGCGCCTTGGTCCATCTGCACAGGTGAGAGGGGTTTAGCTCCATCTGGTCTGGGTGGTCTGGACCAGCTGGAGGTCTCCTCAGGGCAGTAGCAATCTAGGACTCTGTCTCTGGGGTGGTTTCATTTTCCATTTGCCAGAGTTAAGAGACAAACTGAAAAGAACAGCTCAAGGAACCATGTGGGACAAAGGTTGGTGAGTACAAGCAGGTGGGTGGTCAAGGTCAGGGCTTGGGGTCTAGCTGGTGACTAAAGGACCAAATTCTCTTGGTCTGCTCCTGATGAAATACCGCAAAAGGTTTTTCTTTCCCTTTTAAGTAGTTTGACCAGAAATCGAAAGATTGTGTTTTACTGAAATAATTTCCTGTGTTATCTTTATCATCAGGTCTTTGATTACTTAAGAAAACTGAGTCTTCTCAATATTAAGAGCCAGTTTTGCTCACAACGATGTCACCTTCTGTATTTGCCTTTAAAATCACTTGTCACTTTGGTTAAAGAGGTGAAATCTAGTTTCATAAAGATCTGTCATCCTAGTCAAGTGTTCAAAACTAATGGTATTTTTGAAGAGCTGAAAATCAAATTCTAAATGAAGTCTTTCTGACCTGGAACTAACTAGGGATATTCCAGAGGGCCCCTGGAACATCTCAAGATTTGTCTCTCTGTTAAAGGAGCTATCAAACTAATATTCGGCTTTTGTTAAATTACACGGGAAGCACTCACAAATAACTGATGCTAAACTTTGTTCAGGTTGTATTTGTATGGATACATGTTACTAACATAAATGTTCCAGAAATTGTATGAAATTCCTAGAAGTCTGCTATGTCCTCGTATAATGTTACTACTTGTAATCTAGTTATTATCTTAAAACAGTATGTCACAGAAATAACCAAATTTTCTTGTCAATTGCATTATAGTGAACACTCATTCGATCTTTATTCGTGGCCATTTTTAAAGTGTTTCACCATTATTACTAGAGGCTACTGTTCTGCTTTTGCAAAAGTGCTTCATCTTCAAGGAGAGTCCTGGAAAGGATTCTGACGAGTACAAATTTCCGGTAACTTCCAAATCATACCACTGAACTGAGCAAGAACTTATAAAACTCTAAGGAAAAAGTGGAATTATAAAATTGCTAATACAAGGTGAAGATCAACAAGAATTACATGAGACTGAACGAAAAGGATGGTTTTAACTTTTACGACTATTTGAAATATTATTTCCAGATTTAAGGAGACTTTTTCTTTTCTCCTAAGCTACAGTAACTTGATGAAGTATACCTTGATGAATAAGATGAAATAAATCCTTTTTCTCCCTGATTCCTCCAAAACTTGGAAACTAATAGTGACCACTCTTATTTTCATGGTAATAGCTATTGCTATTAATGCCATAGAAATGGCCACAAAAGCTCATGTTTACAGTCTTCATGCCTGCCCCTTTGCAGACCAGAGTTTACCTCAACCCCTGACGGCATCAGAGACATTCAGACTGCAAACGATACTTTAAACCCAACCTGTAGAAATCATATGAAGGGCTGCCCACAGGACAGAGGTCTAGTGTAGAATTTGCTCCCACCATTAACCTTTTTTTCCCATAGAAGTGCTTCTTATTTAAATACCTGCTTGCACCACAGAGGCCTAAAATGAGACACAACTTTTTCACCAACCTGAACAATTCTCAAGACGGATGGAAGTGCTATTTATAGCAGGCACAATGGCTTCAAAGTTACTTCCTGGAGTTGGAACACTGGCGGAGGAGGCCCTCAGGGCCCGCAGTCCCAATGGAGCCAACAAGGTGCACTCCATGGCATCTGGAGGTGGTGTTTCTTTTTTTTTTTGGTATTTATTTATTGTAAAAGAGAGAAAGCACATAAGCAGGGGAAAGGCAGAGAGGGAGGGAGAGAACCCAAAGCTGGCTCTGCACTGTCGGGGCTCAAATGCACCAACCTGAGATTGTGACCTGAGCTGAAACCAAGAGTCAGATACTTCACCGACTGAGCCACCCAGGTGCCCTGGAGGTGGTGTTTCTACTGCTGATCAGCAGGTGACTGGGCTGGAGAGGGAGGTCGTGACTGCTGCACGGAGGGGACTAAACCCATACAATATGCTAGCCCCAAATGCAGTTTCAGGCACCAAGGAAAACCCTAATTTAGTCGCATCTTCTGGAGACCTCTAATGTGTACAGGAGGCATACATACTATTAAACTCCTGGGCTTTTTCCTGTTAATCTGTTTTGCTTGTTTGTTTTACAGGGGGGGGGGGGAATCTCAGCCAGGAACCTAGAAAGTAAAAGGAAATTTACTTTTCCTCTCCTGCAAGGACATGTAGAAAGTTTGAGTTACATACAAACTATTAAAGTCACAGCATTTTTCTTTTTAGGAGCTGACCCATCAGTCAACGACGAGCTCAAAGAAACACAACGTAATCCAATGCTAATGGCAGAATGGTATATTCTTAGCCTCCTCAGAAAGGCACAGCATACATGGTTCAAACAGCAAAACTGTGGTGGCCATCAGAACTTTGGCAGGGGTTGCATTACGCTGGTTAAACAATTTAGGCTTTTAGCCATTTCGTAAGTTTACAAGACTTGGCCGTGTATATATATACACACATAAAACACACACACATTTTTTACCAGTACAGCACGTATGCTATCTCGAGCCCACTTATGTCAACTTTGGCTGCATGGTGATCAAATTATGGCAAAACTAAGTTAGATATATTAATATAGTCATCAGTTTGGCTTAAAAATATTTAACACAAAAAAAACAAAACCAAACAAATCTTTGATGGCATGTTAAATGCATAGTTCAGCATGGAGAGAGAAAAACAATCTAAAATCTCTAAATTACAAGATTTAATAAAAAGCTTCAAACCCCTTAATTTTCTTTTTTGAAAATATCACCCAAACTCATCCTAGAGGTCTCAAGGTATGATCTATAAACTAACAGACGCCTCTGTTACATGATGTGTTAATGCCTATTAAACACACTTAAAAAAACATAAATCACAGTGGCTTTTAAAAATTCTATAAAATATCAAATTCAAAACTTACACAAAATCTTAGAGCCAAAACTCAAGAAAAGAAATATAAAAACAATTTGGGAATCAAGACTTTGAAAAAGGGTGCCACACTCAAATATCTCGTAAGGTCCGACACCTGGCCCCGTGGCCTGCATGACGGGCTCCGTGCTGCCAGGGGTGAGTGACGTCACAAGCACTTGCAAATATGTGAGGAGCTTGCAAATCCTGTCTTCTGGAATGGGTGAGAAGTGCACAGCAGCTTTCAAACCAGGTTGAACTCCCTCAGGTTGAGCTGGAGAATCGTGTCTTTCACGGCAGCGAACACAAAGCGGATATTCTCCGTGTCTGTAGCACACGTGAAGTGAGAATAGATGACTTTCTCTTTGTCAGGATTCTGATCTTGGTAAAGCTTCAGGATAAAGTCTCTGGCAGCTTTGACATCCTGCTTTGGTCCTAGTCAAGAGTGTAGTTACAGGAATAAAGAAGAAAGATAGTGACCAACCAACAGGTCCTCCCCCAAATCATTCTCGATACAGTCTTGCTCTTGCGTGGGATCCTTCTTTCAGTTGTCTTAGTTCTAGAGGATAGTTGACCTGGGGACATTAACTTTCATTCTATTTTATTATATCTCATAAAAGAGTCTTTTAAAGTGTTCACTGCCATCTAAAAAATTGTACTTTAAAGCAATTTGTTGAAAAATAGCCAACTTAACTTTTGGATTTGGACCACAGAGGCAGACAGAAGTGAGCTAGGACTAGGGAAAGGAAGGATACAGGAACATGATTAGACCCCCAAGTCTCATTTTAACACGTGAGGGCTCTACCCGATAGGGCCACTGCAGCTATGACCTTTTGGTCATAGGACACTAAAACCCTAAACATCAGTATCACACTTCCTGATATTCGAGACCTCCTGTACCAGAAATCCTTAGCAACAAGACATAAACTTTCCAGCCAGGGGTAGGTCATATTCATAAAACTGTTGTCTACCGTGTGCCTAGGAAGGGGGCTGCCACACTAACATACACAGAAGAAGTACCGGGCACTCGGACAGAGACCGGAAAGGCAGGGCGGGCACAGTCTCTGCCTCAGGAGCTGCCCACGCGAACAACACTACACGGAGTGACGAAGGCCAGGGGACAACAGAGTGAGCCCCCGCTGCCAGGGGTGCCGCGAGGGTGAGGAGGACTTCCCGGAGGAGGCGCCTGAGCTGGGTCTTGGAGAAGAGGGTGAAGTTCACAAAAGGTGTTGGCATGCGTGGAGGTGCTGAGGCAAAACACAGTGATGCACCTGGAGCTTCGGTGAGAAAGGGTGTTAGAGGCAATCGGGGGCAGGGGGGGCCCAGGGGCCTGACCAATAACTCTGGATGATGCCCGGGAAGTCAACAAGATGGACACTCACCTGTGTATTCTGGGAAGTAGCTAATTAGATGAGAGTACATGATTTTCTCTTCCAAAAGATCCTTCTTATTTAAGAACAAAATCACAGATGAGTTCAGAAACCAGGGGTAGGTAATAATGGTTTTAAATAAGGCTTTGCTCTCTTCCATGCGGTTCTAAGCGAGAAACAACGGGCTTAGGGTTAATAAGAAAAACGGTACTTTGGGAGCAACGTGCCGAAATGTCTGGTCCCACCCATGTGTCCCCTCACCCAGCTACCGGCTCCATATCACTGTCCTTGCTGAAGCTGGTGAGCACCTGGGGCCCCTCAGGATACCAGGTCTCCTGCCTCTATTTCCCCCCCACACCCCCACCGGCTTTCTTAGTCACTCTCTTCGGTATGCGTTCTGTGGCACCGCAAATAAACACATGTAAGAAAGGCTTTTGTGAAACTTGGAAGAAAGTTCCTATCCTATTTGACAAAAGTTTTCTGGGTCATTACTGGGATTACCGAGTGGGGGAAGTGAGTAACTTAGACCCCGGAAGCCCTGTGTCATTGGGGTTGGGCTCCCAGACCATGAGGGGGAAGCTCCTGGAGCCCAGCCACCGCCCAGAGGAACGCTGGACACGGGCAGAGCGAGGAGCGCACGCTGCTGACACACTTCACGTGTTGGCAATACGGAGGAGCTCTACTCGGGGCACAGCGTCCCCATTTGATGGATGAGCAGAGTGGTGTTCACAAGTTTAAATTATGTCCCAAGCCCATGTGGTAGTGGGACCTGATCAAAATTACGTAGAAACACCGTCAACATCTCTTAACATTTGACATTGGCAAGAATACACCAAATGTTCCTACTTCAGGGAGAGTAGACTGGGCACATACAAATCTCATCTGGTGACAATAATTGTTCTAGATAGTACTCTATTCTGAAGGTTTTTTTTTTTTTTAATCTTTATTTTTGGGAGAGCGCAAGCCAGGGAGGGGTGAAGAGAGGGGAACAGAAGATCCCGAAGCAGACTCTTTGCTGACAGGCTGACAGCAGAGAGCCCAACGCGGGGCTCGAACTCACAAACTGTAAGATCATATCCTAAGCCAAAGTCAGACACTCAACAGACGGAGCCAGCCAGGCACTCCAGCTCTAAGAGTAAAGAAACAGCAGCTTCCCTTTAGACAGAGGGAAGTGCTCAGACAAAACCATGAAAGCCTTGCACGCCCACTGCGGAGGAACATGCTGTAAATCTGTTTGCCTACAAGTCCCGTACACTGGGACTCATTCTCTTGCTCGGTACCCTTTTGGGAATTAAGATCTGGCATTTATTACCAGATAGGTAACCTCTCAGTTGTTAGTATTTTTTTTTTAATTTTTAAAAATGTTTTTATTGATTTTTGAGAGAGAGGGAGACACAGAATCCAAAGCAGGCTCCAGACTCTGAGCTACCAGCCCTGAGCCCGAGGCAGGGCTCCAACTCACGCTCTGCAAGATAATGACCTGAGCCGACTTAGTCAGAAGCCCGACCAACTGAGCAACCCAGGTGCCCCGTCCCTCAGTTGTTTTCAAAGCTTAACAAAAATTTATTATCTTTTCAGTAATGATCTCCTAGGAAAGACAACACAGCCGACTCTTGAATAGCGCAGGAGGCGGGGGCGCTGACCTACCGGAAGAGTCGAGAATGTGCACGCACAGGCACCCGGGTGGCTCAGTCGGTTAGGCGTCCAACTCTTGATCTCAGGTCATGATATCATGGTTTGTGACACTGAGCATCACATTGGGCTCTACACGGACAAGGCAGGGCCTGCCTTCGATTCTGTCTCTCCCTCTCTCTGCCCTTCTCAGCTTGGTCCCTCTCTCTCTCTCCCTCAAAATAAATAAGCTTAAAAAAAAAAAAAAAAAAAAAAAAAAAAGAAAATGTGCATATAACTTACTTCTCCCAAAACTTAACTATTGCTAGCCTACTGTTGACCAGAAGTGTCACCAACAATCAATTAACACGTATTTTATATGTTATGGGTGTCGTATACCATATTCTTACAATAAAGCGAGAGAAAAGCAATGAGAAAATCGTAAGGAAAATACACTTAGTGTACTGTATTTATCGGGGAAAAAAACCCACGTATAAGTGGACCCATGCAGTTCAAACCTGTGTTGTTCAAGGGTCTAGCGTATACGAAGAAACAATTCCTACGCAGCCCGGGGAGGGGACGCAACAGATAATTACAACCGGGATAGGAAGGTTTGAGTGGCAGCCACTTAATCTTTCTCCAGATACCTTGTGACTTCCGGCAAAAAAGAAAATGTCTAATTTCTACACATATAGGGCTGAGGCGTTGGTCCCTTGTGCGCCTGAATGATCTTTTGAGTTTTCTGAGAAACATCATTAAGTAATCCCGAGACAAATTGGAAGCTAATTTTTCACATTGATAACGTGACGCCTTTTTGCTTTTTTAACAAAATGTCTCCCTTGGAAGAGCTGGGGGGCAGCCAGGATTGCCATGTTTCTCTGCACAATGACGCTAGTAAGTGGGTTAATCCTCCACTAAGTAGCTACTGTAACTGTGCTCCTCAGAGAAAGGTCTGCTCTCAAGAAATACAAGATCCCATTTGTCCGGTGATTTCCTAATCCTGGGCAGAGTTCTTCACTGCTTTACGATCACGACCCAGAAGCAAGAGACATTTTTCTACGAGGTCAGGATGTGTCGTGCAAGGGTGGGGAAAAGACCAGGGGAGGACAATGGTGTCCCACAGAGCACAACCCCACCTCGCAACGAAGTGACAGGAATGGCTCTCCCCACTTCCTGGGCAGACACAGCTAATGGAGTTTGACCCAGCTAGGACTATGGCAACTTTGCAGGGGACACGGGTAGGTCCGAACAGCTCCAAGCATCTGGCACCACTCCCCATGCCAGCTCAGTTAGGGACCTAATTAGGGTGCACCATGGAGGTTGGGAAGCCTGTTCTCATTATATTTACTGGAAATGCCATTGCTCTGGGGCACCCGCATGGCTCAGTCGGTTAGGCATCCAACTTCGGCTCGGGTCATGATCTCACAGTTTGTGGGTTCGAGCCCCGTGTCAGGCTCTGCACCGACAGCTCAGAGCTTGGAGCCTGCTTCGGATTCTAGCCTCCCTCTCTCTCTGCCCCTCCCCTGCTTCGTGTGCGCGCTCTCCTCTCTCAAAAATAAGCATTGTCTTAAAAAAGAAAGAAGTAACATTGCTCAACTTGGGCTATATGTTAGTACCCATAAAGGGCTTGGAAAAGATACCTCCAAACTCAGACCCAGGAAATATGAATCTCTCCCGTGGGGTCCAAAAGATGGTCTTTTTTAAAACTCCCCAAGGGGTCCCAATATGCAGCCAGGGCTGAGAACCAAAGTCTGCAGGGACTCTACCCCCAGCAGCACAGGCAGGAGCTTAGATCCCAGGCTCAGCCCACACCCACCTCAACTAAACCAGAATCCTGAGTTGGAACCAGGTGCCAGGTTTTTCGCAATGATCCCCGGGGAAGCGCAGTGCGTATCCCACTTTGAGGACCAGGTTTCTAGGCCAGTGATTCTCCCGCTTCCCCGTGTATTTCATTCAGTTTGGGTTGACTGACGAGGCACGCATTTCCAACAAGCGCCCAGATGATGGCGGTGCTGCTAAGCCAGAGACCACGCTTGGACCAGCCAAGCCGGCTTAGCCTCAAGAACGGAGTCCAGAGTGCTGGCTTCTTGCAAACTGCAGAAAGAGTCCCCGTTTTCCACAGCCGTCCCCTTCCCCGCCTAGCGTACCTCGTTGTCACACTCGGCCAGGACCTGGTCGTATTCACTCAGAGCAACCAAAAAGATAATGGAGGTGACGCTCTCAAAGCAATGAATCCATTTCCGTCTCTCAGATCGCTGGCCACCAACGTCTACCATCCTGTTCAACAGAAACAGAGATCATTCAAAGGTTGGCATGCATGGCTCTCTGGGAAAAAAGGGCAGGAGTCCTTATATTGTGGAAACTCGTTAGGGTCCTCAGTAATCGTTTTCGAGTGAAAAGGGGCCTTACGGTTAGAATGTGTGAGCACCGCTCCATGAGGCAGCGAGGAACCCTAGATGCTTCCTAGAGCAAAGGAGGCACAGGATGCAAGCAGAGTTACTGAAGACAGATGTAGAGGTCACTCGGGGGGAGCCTGCTCGGGGACGCTGGTTTGGAAGCTGCTGCAACAGTCTAGGCAGGAAGCACAAGCATCCACTTAGCTGTTGCTCGAACCACGGCCGAGTGTCAGGACACCAGACACACAAGGGGCAGGAAGGTGGGCGGTCTTCCAGGTCCACTCAGCCGGATTCGGGCCCTCACCCCCGCCTGTTTTTCACCACTCCTCAGATTTCTCCAGAAATCCTCTCTGCCTTAGGTGGATGCCACCCCTTCTGCCCTATAAAGACCTACAAGTTTCCTCCGTCCTATATGGAAACCCAAGGCCTTCCTCTGTGTCTTGGGGAAAGACTTCAGAGTCATAGCCCCAAGATGGCCCCGGAGCTCGAACGCTCCAGGAGTCGGGTAGTTTTCGCAAATGAGTCAAGTGGGTCTCTCCAAAGCACGACAACAGGCAACTCGAGAATGCTAGGGGCCCTGTCTGCAGGGTCGACTGCCATGCAGCTGGATAGAAACGCACCCCATGACCGGACCCTCAACCTTTCAGAGAAACCAGTTACCAAGTGTTTTAAGCAAAATGGACCAAGTTTCAAAAGTTGTTTAAAAACACCATGTGGGCCAAAGAGAATACATCTGTGGACCAGACACCAGTTTTCCAAGTAGCAAGCAGCACTGATTCTGAAATAGTTGTGTTCATAAATTCATGGCATTCAGATACAGATTTTTAAGTTTATTATTATTATTTTTTTTGAGAGAGAGATGGGGGCGGTGGGGAACAACAAGAGCAAAAGTAGGTCGGGGGAGAGAGAGAGGGAGACACAGAATCCGAAGCAGTCTCCAGGCTCTGAGCTACGAGCACACAACCCGACGTGGGGCTCGACCTCACAAACCATGAGATCATGACCACAGCCAAAGTCGGACACTCAACCGACTGAGTCACCCGGGCACCCCCAGATGCAGATTTTCAAGGGGCTCGATCAGGGCAACAATGCTCCGAAGCCTTGAGATGGAACAGGGTTTACAGACGGCCTGGGTGTGGCAGGGTGGGACCTGTGTCCATCTCCACTGGAAAAGCATAATGTAATTAGCCCTAAGGAGGAACATGGGAACCAAGGGATATAGAATTGTTTTGAAATTTGCAATGCTGGGCATATGTACCATATTACTAATTTGTTGCCATAATTAGGTGCAATGAAGGTCCACTTAAGTCATCCTAAAAGTACTTCTTATATTTATATGTGGGAATTCATACATTTTTACACAGCTGTAAATAGTTTATATGTATTGTGTAATTTTTAATCTTTTTTTAACATTTATTTATTTTTGAGAGAGAGCGAGCGAGTGCATGAGTAGGGGAGGGTCAGAGAGAGAGGGGGACACAGAATCTGAGCTCCAGGCTCTGAGCCGTCAGCACAGAGTCCAACGCGGGGCTCAAACTCACAAACCGTGAGATCATGACCTGAGCCGAAGTCGGACGCTTAACTGACTGAGCCACCCAGGTGCCCAGTGGTAATTTTTAATACACACTT